ACCGTCACCACTCTCGAGTCTCGAGGACTTTATTTTCGTAACGATGTTTTTCCCGTCGTTCCGATTCCTAACTTAATTGTGATCGACCTTGAGCGATTGAGACCGGCGTACTTCCGCTGAGAAAGGGAGAGAGAGAGAGAGAGAGAGAGTTACCGCGGAATTCGGTAAATCAGATCAGAGGGGAAAAAATGACGCGTGAATCGCTCCGTTCATTCAGCCGAGGAAAGTTTCACACGTCCGCGCGCGCGCGCGGTCTACGTACTTGAATTTGAATCAGATCGATAGGAGAGGCGGCGCCTCGTACGAACGAAAAATCTTCTCTGGAAAGTATCGATCCCCAATGCCGGGTCGTCTCATACGACGCCCTAACGATGAAGACGACTGACCCTTCGCGCTCTCTCGCGCGCCGCGTGTTGTCGATCAAAAATCTGCCGAGTGGTCGCGCGCGCACCTCACTCGATCGCGAGACGCGATTCGCAGCGGAGGCGACGGGATTCCAACGAGTCCGACGAGCGAATTAACTTGCACGGGGGGAAGAAGTTTCCTTCGGATTTGGATTACACGTGCTCACCGGACTTGGTTTTCCTCGATACGAACAGCATAATTTCACACGGCCAGGTTCTTCGCTCCATTTCGAATCCGTCTTGATCGAAGAAATCCTATTAACAAGCCGACAAATCTTTTTCCTCCGCGCAAAGCGGAGAAACATACATATTTCGTCGTTCCTCTCTGTATGTTTCCGCGCGAGCGATCGTTGCGACACAGAAATTAACGGGAAAATCGACAATACCGGGGCGATATGCGAGTGTCGTCAGCGATTTTCGAAAAAGGTCCGAAGGTCCGAGAGAGAGAGAGAGAGCGAAGTAAATCACCGCTGCGGGACGCGTTTGAAAATTGCATCGTAAGCTTGTTTATCGATGAGCATGCGGCCTCGCGAATATTCCACGACACAATCGTCGTCGGCAGGCGAAATCGAGTGACAGTGACTTGCACGAGAGAGGCCCGCGCGCGCGGTTTTATATCCGCCTGTGATTTCAACGGATCGGCGAGGAATCGCTCGAAGAGGAACGTTGAAGAACGCATCTCATCTTGCGCATCGTCGTCATCTAGCGAAACTTGTTTCCTCCGTGTACGACACGAGTATTTCGGACGATCCGGAATTCCATCCGGAAGACGTCTCATTGATTTTTAGACACCTTCCGGAGACGTCTTTGAGACGTCTTTCAAAAATGTATGCCACCCGGAACGTTTCTCCGCCGTAGCAATCTTCTGTTAACAAATGACGATAACGGCGGTAATCGCGTGGATCCGCGAAAGTCGGAGTTCCCGAAAGGCCTGGTTATTTAATACACATCCGTGCATGCTCTCCCACACACACACACACATATATATGAATATTAAGGTTCCGCGCGAGAAACTGCTGTTATGGAAGACGCGGTTAACCGGTACGCCCGGATTTGTAGAGCGAGGAAGTTCCGGGTGGCGTAACGCACGCGTAATACCCGATCATTTTGCGGGAAATGGTCGCGGTACGGTCCTGTATTAATTGTTACATAGCGTGGCAAGACGTGTATCGTTTCCCGGTGCAGACGGTGCGTTGTTAACCGTCGCATCGGGAAGAAAGTCCAGCCGGCGGCCTCGTGTGTACGGCTTTCGAGTCGCGGTGTATAACGTTTCGCGCGCAACGCTGTTATGCACATCGTGTTACAACATTGCGGCCGAAACGCCCGTTATTAAGTGTTAATAAATCTTTTTTGTCGAGGGATGACGCTTCAAAGGAGGACGCTTCTCGCGAATGTTCACGCGTCTGATAGGGTATTCGTGATCGGATTTTATATTTAAAATAGTCTCGAGTTCACATTCAGATGCTGAATCATGTACGAAGCATCCGAAGATGAACTTAAGCCTGTAATGGTAAGGCGGGGTCAGATTGACCCCAACGTTTTCGTTTATTTTCCGCGCATGCACGCACTGTTTCTCTTCTTGAGAAATCTCTCGTGTTATTGCTCGCTTCTTTCACCCATCTTGTCAAACATCGGTTGCGTGACAAATGAACAGAACAGAGCGTGGGGTGTGATCATCGAGCCGGAACATCGCGCCGAACTTTTCGACCGACTCGATATTCACACATAATCGTTTGAGCCTCTCCTTCCCGAACTCGAGTTCGATCCTCCGATCCCTCGTAGAGCGTCCATTCTATTTCCATTTTTGCCGGTTGCACGTCGCGCGTCGGGGAAATTCTCGCCGGATCCTCGCGGGCTCGCTAAACGACGCGACTGTGAAACAGGGTCGTTGACCCCCCCCGGGTTCTACGCGGCCTTCCAATGTCTGCGTTCTCCATTCTCCTCGCGAGGGTGCGAGCTGATTTATTATCGCCGGACTTATTATTTGCCACGCGATCCGCGCGATACCGCGCGCGGTTGCGAGACAGGACGCGCCACCGAGGAACGTGCCGCTCCTCCTCCCTCCCACCCTCGCGCGAACAGGCGAACTCTGTAGAAAGCGTGAGGTAACGCGATCGACGTGCCGCGGACTTAATTGAATATTACGCAAAGGATGCTAATTAAGGACGCGGCATGGCGCGGCATGGCGCTCTTCCTCGGCTTTGTCGCCGCGGCAAAATTGCCGGCGACTTTTGCGCGCGCGTTTGTGTGCCTCCTCATTACGGCGAACTGCCGCGCGCAAACGGTTTCTTTCTTTCATCGGTCACTGGAACGTGAGAAGAAAAAATCGTCATGCGTGTGTGTGTGTGTGTGTGTGCACGGAGGAAACCAATTTTGCCAGAACAGCAGATGTTTGTCAACATAGTGAGAGCGAGAGGGAAATTTAGAGAGCGGATAATTTGTCTGGACAGCGGGAATATTCGTTAGGGATTATTAATTGCTATTTGCTGGACATATAGATAATGAATACTCTCAAGAAATCTTTTCGCTGTCCGGACTGACGATGGACACGAGTTTTGCGAATACGTAAGCGGTGTTGCAATATTCCCCGTGATTACTGCGATAACAACGTAAAACCGCGCGCATGCGATTAAGCGTTTCACGATCCGAGTTGGCGGAGTCGGCGTTGAATACGATTGATCCCACTTGATCCCGTCAAGCGCTTAGCGCGAAATGCGCTGGCTCGCAAGCCAGTTTCCTGCTCAAACCGTCGCACGGATGTAATCCTCATTAAATAAGGGAAAATCTCGTCATAACTGACGCTTAATGCTATGTCAAATAGAAGCGGAGCGTATACGGGGGGCGGTAGGGGGAGGGGGAGGGGGGCTTTTGATNTCGGAGCGAAAGTTTTTATTTCGTAATCCGGCAAACTCGATTTCCGCGTGTGTTTCGAAATCGCTCGCGAATGCAACGCCGAGGATTAACGCCGAAATTTCTGCGTTTATTTATCGCTCGCCGCGGAAAACGCGAGAGGACGGAACGAAATAGGATGAACTTTCATGCGAGCGTGTCTGCATTGGACGCGCGTCCGAGTGACGTCCGATGGAGACCGATCGGGATACTTTTATTCGGCATAATAACGCGTGAATAATGACGTTAATGGGCCGTTTAACGTTTAACAAGGATGGGAACGCGTTGAAAAAGTAGAAATCCCCGCGCGTTTTCGAGAGCCGTTCGAGCGTCGTTCGAGCACGCAGCGCCGATTAACGAATCGAGGGAGGGGGAGATTTCGTGTCCGAGTCTCTATAATGATGATGAACCGGCGCGTTTCGTCGCTTTTACTTAACGAGACGAATCGAGGGGCCTATCACGACGAGTGAAAGTATACACGCTCGGAGGTCCGCGTTGTTTCGGGATACACCGCGTATCTCCGTCGAGCGGCAATTACCGATATAGGATGGCAATTACGTCAAGCGCATCGGCGCATAAGCGGACATACGGAGAATTATGGAAATCGCGAGTTTATTCGCCGAACGGCGAAATTTACAGCCGCGAATCCGCGAGCATCCCCCCGGAATTCCACGCGCGCACACATGCACACTCCCATACACACACACACACACACACATATATATACACATCGAGATAAAATATAAAATATATATTCCCCGTGCGCGCGGACTAAACGAATGAAAAATCAACCAATTTTTGCGTCGAGGCAGATGAAGGAGATTAAATCAGCGGCTTAATCGAGTGCATCGGAGATTAATTGAGAGTGCAAAGGGAGCGTTGTTTTTCAGCAGCTCGGGGAACAAATGTTCGTCTCACATTTCGCGGAGAACGCGCGTCGAAAGCTCGGCATATTTTACACACGCGCTTTCGACGGCCGATTTTCGATTTATGCGATAGTCTCTCCTATTTACGACTTAAGGGAAGGCTGATCGGCCGAAACTACGGCCGGCCGGGCGCGCACGCGCGCTCGACCCGCGCTTTTACAATTTACGGCGTATTCATGCTGTTCGTGCCCGCTCCCGTCCATTGATTCGTGGCTGAACGACAGTTGTAAATCACCCACCGTTGTTGCCGTTGTAACGGGCGGCCGGTGAATTACGCCACGGACACTTCGGGTCCCCCTCGATCTAAATCTTAATCGCGAGGAAAATATCGCGAGATCGATGCGGCGACATCCACAGTCGACGGTTGTTCGACCTTTATTCCTTATTATTGGCCTTCGAATTTTTAAGAGGGAGTCGCCTTTTTTATTTTATCGAGTGAAGAAAGAGAGAGAAAGAAAGTGTCGAACGGTGTAATTATTGTCGGAAATATCAAGTCGACGCACACATCACGAAAACGTATTTACAAAATCGCGGAATGAGGAGAAACGTCCTCTTTCGTCGCGTTCTCCGAGTCAATTCGAGCCGGGATGAATACTTGACGAAGATCAGCCGTTATCGGCGGGTTATCGTCATCTCGCGATGTCGCGGCCGTTTTAATCGATGACGCTCAATTAGTCCGATGTGTCCGGCGACCTCGTCCGTTTCTCGCAGTGAGTGTCGTCTACGCGCGTCGAAGTTCTTCTTCTTCCACATCATCATCGTCATTATCGTCGTCATCATCGTCGTCATTATCATCGCGAAGGTGTAGACGCGTCGTCGCGCTGCGTTGCGTTGCGTCGTTCGCGAGGAGGAATCAGGAATGCGATTCGGCCCGGCGGGTTCCGCTGCGCAGCGGCGCGATAAAACGCACACAGAGAAGGTTTCCTTAGATTTAGGATTTCTATTTATTCGACTAAGATTTGTTTCATCGAAACATGTACGAAATATTATTCGTTCGAAGTAAAAAAACCCATCGTCCCGCTCAAGGAAACTATTATTTAACGGAAAGAACGCTCTTATTATTTGAAATAATGTCTTTCAACCAAATAAAATATTATTCGTCTACGATAAATATGGTAAAACGGACAATTCCTTTGTAAGAAAATTATCTTCCGTTTCGAACAAATTTTTCCTTCAAGATAGAGATACTCGGTATTCGTTGAAAAAGTCTTCGACAATCGTACTTATTATCTATTAATCTAAACATTAGTTTCTTCGGGCCAATGACGAGATTTGCCTGTAAATATCATAGGATTGATGAAATTTCAAGAAATCTCAGTGCGCGCTCCGCGCGGATCGTCGTCTACGAGAGTGTGAATAACGCGTGTTCCACGTATCCGCCGGAGGATACTCGTTGTCGGAGGGCTAAGCGTGCTAAGCCGCACAGAACGACAACGAATAATTATAGCGCAACAACACACGCTCATGTTAATTGCCGGCTGGCCGAGTCTTTCCCCATCCGTAAAGAGAGGAGAGGTGCTCATCAACCTGTCCCGAGAGAGAGGATTCGCTCCGAGAGATCGATGGGCCTTCCTCACGGTGAGAGGAGCTCTTATCAGTGCCCGGGGAGGGGAGGGGGGGG